AGGCTATGCAGAGGGAGACAATGAGCTAATCCAAGGGGGCTACCAAATAAAGGTTTAGAAGTCAGAACAATCTCAACAAGAGACCAAGAAAACAAACATAAAAGCCGCTAGGGGGAGCTCAAGGGCCCACCACCTTTTCCAGCCATTACTTCTCCCTACCTGGATTGCAGAAATCACATTCAGAGGCAAAAAATTCCATTCCCTCAAGGAAGAAGGGTTTGCTCTATGTTGAAGGCAGGAATTAAGCCATGTTTCCCAGGAGGCAAAGCGTTCAGAGACATTAAAACGTCAACTCCTTAAAGAGGGTATGTTCCTTTTCCTTTACATTTACTTCCTAGCAGTGACTGGAATTAAACAGGCCCTTGGCTGTCTCCAGCTGCCCTCACCACTTGCCTTCCTCTTGTGGTACCCTCCTTCCTCCTCCAGAAGTTTGATTCAGGCAAGGGAGGACCCTGGCCCAAGAAATCCCATGGTGGGCAACCAATGCCAGCTCAGTTACAGAGTATCCAAATGAGGTTCTAGTTTGTTCTGAACTGGAGGTTGGAGCCAACTAATAACCAAAGCTATTGCTCTGCCAGTGGTTTTCCTGTGATGTACTTTCCTCAGGATTCTGGAGAGGGAAGCTGTGGTTGGGCCATGATTAAAGTAAGCCTGGATCCATGGCACTACCTCCTGCTGCTTTCCCAGAGACCAAAGGAATGAGGAGCTCAAAAGTTTCCCAAAAAGCCAAGACTTAAGTCAGGTCTGGGTACAATCAGTCCTGTGCTGTCTCCAGGGAGCTCTTTCTGTGACACTTATAAGAAAGTCTCTTATATTCTATAAACTTCAACCAAAATCCTTCTAGCCAATATACCTCATCATTTCACAAACTTACCTCAAAATTTCCCTGGATTGGTGGCAAGTAAATCCCATTGAAGGCACACTGAGAGTAAGGGCAGTCACCAGTGTTGAAGAGCTCAAGAATGCTTTGCTGGCATTGTTCATAGTTTCCAGTACCCTGGATTTGAAACTCATCAAATGGCAGAGTCCTCTTAAATTTCTTGGTGCAAGGGGTCTTGTAAAGGTCACTTACGTTCACAACCTTCTTATACCCCGTGTGAAAGCATGGGTCCCTGAGGCTTCTATCACTTGACACCTGAATGAAAAAAATCACTTGAAGGAATCCTGTGAATGTTGGGGTACAAAAGCCACAATCTGACTTCATTATTGTGTAGGCATAGTAGAAAATGATAGCACATAGAACTGGCATCATTATATCTCTCCCTGAGTTTTTTACCAATAAAAATAAGTGTTAAAAAAAGTTTCTATTGCATGCACCAGAAGTGGTACCAGATGTGACTGTACCTGGGGAATTTATAGGATGCTGATATTGTTAAAGCTGGACCCAGTAATGTCATTAGCTGGGAATGCCTTGGAGTTCTTAGGCCTAAATTATATATGTTGGAAGAAGATTCCCCAGGGAAATTCTCAAGACTCCCAAAAATTGAGCCTGAGGCTCTTTACCTCCCTAAGCAGAGAATCAGAAACTCCAAAAGGTGGAACATGTGTTAGGTCTTTTAAACCAATAGAATCCAGTGATTTTTTTTTAATCTTTATTTTATTTATTTATGTATGGTGCTGAGAATCAAACCCAGTGCCTCACACATGGTAGGCAAGTGCTCTACCACTGAACCCCAGCCCTAGCCCAAATCCAATGATTTTTAACCTTCAACCCCACAGAGAAGAAATTGGGTGGCTGTGGATAAGAAATTTAGTGGAACTCTGAGGCTCAATGGGCTATACTCAGTGGCATCTACTCTTCTTACTGATAGTCTTCTTACTGATAGCAGTTTTGAGAATCAGAGAGTGCTTTGGGGGAAAATAGAGAACTGGTTGTTCTTTCAACAAAGACAGAGACCAGCTGGATATGACAACCTTGCTCTGTGTTTATTTGTCAGGGTGTGCCTGGTACTCTACTGATGTGGAGCATTTAACTTTTCTTGCCTTCAAAAATACAAAAAGCATAAGGTAATAAGATTTGATGTGTTGATTAATAAATTCTGTGTTTTTCCTGAAGTGTTTTTTTCTCTTCCTCTCCAGGTCATTCCAAACAACCCTGTTTTCTGTACTTTGTAGAAAAGGGAAATAAAAAATGGCATAGAAGACCATTTGCTTATAAATTGCAACACCCTACCCCTGAATGATACTCTAGCATGCAGCTTTCATTACCAATCCTTCAGGGGTGAGAAATTAATTGCTAAGGAAAAAAAAAATGTGTGGTTTCCTTGGAGATAGTGCAGTAAACAAACACAGGAGGGGATGTCTGGATGGAAGAATTCATAGGGGTCCACCAGATGTAGCTTGGTATCCTGCCTGAAAGGGTTTGGAAAGTACAATAACCAACTTCAGACCAATTACAGAATTAGAAAGAGAAAATAACAGGATGTGAAGGATGGAGGACCAGATGTGGAAAGGGCAGGTCTGAATTCAGTTACACTTGCCTGAAAATCCTTGGCCAGTTTCTGCCAGAGTGCTTGATCCTTCCCATAGCACAAGAAGCTATGTGTGTATACATAGTAGTCCTTGCCATAGAGGCGAAATTGCAGAGAGTTTTCTGGGGACTCCATAGTGTGGTTTTCAGGCACAAAAGTAATTTGTGTAGAGGCGCCCCCAAGGTCCAAAGCTCCAAATGTTTTCTCATGATTCATCTTTTCTGAGATCCCGCTGAACCAACCTGAGTTCTAAAAAAGAGGACAGTCAACAGTGCTAAAGGTGTTTGGACACCCAACTTTTCACCATGTTTCTTAGAGTCAGGGAATTTCTAAAGCAGAGAAGCAGGGGCAGAAAGGTGAGGCAAAGGGCATTAGAGGTTCCTGAGTCTGCACCAGATCAACAACAAAAGAGACGGGCTTTGAGGACATGCACACACTGCTGTGACATAGAAGGAGTATAACAACTGCTACAAACAAGGGGTCTAGGACCAGGCCAACTCAAGTTCAACTGCTCACTCAGTCAGCTATTATCATGTGACCATGAGCACAATCATTACCCTCATTAGGCATCACCACCCACCTCTAAAATGGCAGAGTCCTCTTAAATTTCTTGGTGCAAGGGGTCTTGTAAAGACCTCAGACTGTCGTTTGAGGATGAATTCTCTCATCACAAGTAAGTGCTAGCACAGCACACAGCAATCAGCACTAGGCAAGTACTAACTGCTCTTACTTTTAATGATAGACTTTCTTTGCCTCTGACTCCCAGAGATGAAGACTTCCCTAAGGAAGGTCTTGATAGGCAGCTATTCCTCCAGTAATTCTTACAAACATGGGAATAAATTTATGGCACTCTTTCATCCATCATTCACTCTGGATGAAATATTGCCTGAGAAAGCAAGGTCATAGACCCCCATGGAGTCACTTCCATGGGTGATGTGAGATGATCACCTGAAAGAAACTGCCAAGCAGATAGTTGATAGTAATCCAGCCATAGGCACCTTCCTCTTGGCCAGTGATGATCGTGGCACCCTGGAAGTTAAAGGGGTAGGTGCTGAGGGTCCTTATCACTGCATCAATGACCCTGTCTGCCAGTTGTTCACTTTCCATCCTACACCAAAGAAGAGGTGAGGTTATCATCTTGGTCTTAATAACTACACCTACCCATTCCCACTATAGTTTCCACATAATGCTGAAAGAAACAAACCAAAACATCCTGGAGTAAGTGGAGAACGGGAATCCCCACACACGGCTCACAGAAGAACTCTACTTGAGGACAAGGCTGAGCTAATCTTTTTGTCCCCTCTTACCTAATTCAAATCTCTCCAATCCTTGAGTAGGTTAGTCTTCCTAAAATAACATCTTTGCTCTTTTGTTCCCTGGTTCAAAAAATAAAATGTTCTAAAAAGTTTGTGGTCATGGTAGTTGGGTATTTTGTCATCTCCATGCCTACAGCTGATGTTTGTGATATTAGTTCCTAGAATATCTAAATAAAATTATTGTGTGACTCCTAGTTGGTTACACAAGTTAGTCTGTACTTGAGGTTTTCAATTTGGACTGTGGTAGAAAGCAGGTGGCAAGTCACCTGGAACATAGCCAACTTCTACTGCTTCCAAACTGGGAAATACCTTCCTCATACTATCACCAGTTCTTGGGTCCATTTGAGACCTAAGAAAGGAGTTTTCCGGAGTTGTCATAATGAAGATGAGATGCACCAATTTCCAAGAGCTAGGCTAAGCAACACTGAGAGCCTCCCGGTGAGAGGATGTACCTTCTAACTCTAACCTCTCATCTGAATGCCTCCCATACCCACTACCTGCCTCCTTTACCCTTGCTTCCCTCCACTGCAATCTATCTTCTCTACCAGCGTCACCAATTGTGTAACTTTTTTAAGTGAGTTTCCACTGTCTTCAAGATAAACTCTAAATTTCACATGGTCTACAAG